AGTATGTGTTTTGATGATAATCATCTAATAAGTGATTGTTTTTGTTGATATTTTTATATGGTTATCACGTAATAGATGATTATATTTGTTGTTAACAGATATTTTTTGGATGGTTATCGTTTAATGGATGATTATTAGACTTTTAATGTATAATTGATATGTTTAATATTTGAAATATTTTTACTTTTGAATTTTTTAATTTAATGGATTGGTTTAATGATGATATCAAACTTGTGTCAATGTTTGGCTTTTGAAAAAATAAAAACTAATTTAACGAAAATAAATATAAAAAAATTATTTCTACCCTCCAAAAAAATAAAATTATATAAAAATGATGTGTTTTTAATTTTTTTCACCAATTTAATTTTTAGTTTCTTAGAAAAAATTTCTGAAAATGGATTCTAAAAATCAAATCAAATAGAACTTTATAACCAAAATTTTTTTAACATTATTTATTAAAACAAATACCATTATATTTCAAATAACATATAAGTTAACCAATACAAAATAAGTTGAATGACAACTTTGCCCTTCAAATTAAGTAACAATGTCTTTAATTGTCCTTATTTGGAACGATATTCAAAATTCATGATCAAATGTATCACAATTAAAATGTCAGGGATTAAAGTGACACAAATCCCAAACTATAGGGACTGTTAGTGTAATTCATCCTAATCCCAATCACAATTCTCTTAATCAAATAAAATCTTGTTTTTATATTAAATTATTAATCCAATCTAAATGACATGTCCCTAAACGAATAAGGAAAATGGATTTTCAATGGTAAAATTTACATTTTTATGCTATTTTTTTTTTTTTTAGATCAGCAAAAAGAATCTTTATCAATGGAATCATATAAAAAGATAGAGTACATCAATAAAGAGGAGCTCGGAGCTACATTAAGCTTGGAGCTCTAGTTGGAGAGAATCCAACACAGAGAGAAAACCAAAAAAATAGAAGCAGTATACACAACAGAATAGCAACAGAGCAAACTAGCAGCATACAACAGAGAAGGCAGCCACCAAACATATTTTTAGCAGTTTGCACACCACTGAGCACCCAAAACTGAAACAAAAGCCAAACTAAACCAGCAAACAGACCATTAAAGATGCAACTGATCGACACTCAACTGAGAGCATCAACCCTTAATCTCCAATCCTTATCACCACAGAACTTCACTGAGATGAATCAGCAGGTCTATCAGCAGAACACTCTGAGTGCCACCTAAACAGCAGAGGAATTTTTCTACAGATCAATATGTAACATTGGTTACTATATCAGAATTCAACTTTAAAGTGCCTATAGAGTAAGTGAAGCACAAAGCAAACTTTCATCAACCCAACCAACACTAGAACTTAGAAACTAAACTGCAGAACTAACATCAAACACATTCTAACTGCAAAAACAGAGGCAAAGCTTCAACACACACAGCAGAAAACATACTGCACAGATTTAGACAAAGCCTGCAGAAGGATTGCTAGGAAAAATAGGCCTCCTCATAAACTTCACTCACTGTAACCACCTCCCAAACAGAATCTGATGCGCTCTAGATTAAATATGAAATCATGAACTGAAAACATATGTTCCTTAAATACTTCCTTGAACCACACAGCCATTTTTAACTTAATCAGATCCGTAATCCCATCCACACTTGGGACAACCTCCCGAAATAAGCATTCATTACGATGTTTCCATAAGGACCACATCACAACTAAAAGAATGGCATTCCACATCATCCTTTCCTTTTTGGTGAGACCCACCCCTGACCACCATTCAAGAATGTCCTCCACTGAGGCTGGCAGTGCTTCCTAAACTTTCCACCATCTAAGTATTTCATACCACACTCTCCAAGCCACTGGACATAATAGAAGCGCATGGATAAGAGACTCAGCTCCAGATTTGCATAGACAACATACTACAGATGCACCAGCAGGCAGAACACCAATCCTGTACAGAACTTAGCCGTCTTTAGTTTTCCTTCCCAAGCGAGCCATCCAAAAAATTGAACTCTAGGTGGGACATGTTTAACCCAAATCCTTTTGCTAACTGGGCTGCAATTATTGGAACCCTCAACCAAGAATTTATACATAGATTGAACTAAATACCTTCCAGATTCCGAGGCTTTTCCAAAATTTATACATTTTTATGCTAATGCAATTCGATTGTGTGTATTGTAAAAATTCATTCATGTGTTTAGTGTGTGTCATACACAAATTTTTTTTTTTTGTACTGTAATTATTTTGTGACTATCACATCCACTTAATATGACTTACTTTCTTTGTTATCCTACCTGCACCATCAACATACCCCCACAAAAATAGATAGAGAATTAATAAAACTTATCATTTTGAAATAAAATATTTATTAAAATAATAGTTAATTATAAAAATATCACTACTACATATTATGTGAGAATAGTAATATATTTTTGGATAAATTACAAATACACCTTTGAAATTTGTTTAAAGTATGAATTGCCTAATGTGATTCTAAAAATTACAAATATCCCTTGTCAAAATTTTTTATTTAACATGATTAATAGTAAAAATAAAATTCTTAACTACTCTCTTATGCAATAATAAATTTATCAAAATTATTAATTTAAATATATTTTTTACATCACTAAAAATTGTTAATTAACATAATGATTTATTAATAAAAGTGGTCATTGGTTATGATATTAAAATTTTGAAAAGGCAGGATATAATTTTCAAAACTATATGAGGTAATTCGTATTTTAAACAAATCTTAAGAATGGTATATTTGAAATTTACGCTATATTTTTTTAAAGGGATATGACAAGCACAATCCTCTTGTAATCATGAAGAAAAAAAAAAAAAAACAAGCAAAACAAAACAAAACATGAGTTACAACCTTCAAAAGAACCAACTGTTTACAACCAAGTCACTCAGCTTAGCAATACATTACAAGCGCTTTGATAAAAATAGAAACTTATTTGCGCAAATATTTATTTAATAAGGTTACAATATTATATTTCGATGTCATGCTTAGCCTATCATATGAATTCTCATCACTAGTTTACCACTAATGTGTGTTTTCGACAAAATGGTGTGGAATTACATGATAAACCAAATATAACATAAAATTATGATCATTGTACCATTATTGATTCAGATTGGAATCTGGTTTTCAGAAGACCTCTTTTAGCTTGGGAAGAGGAGGAAGTGCAAAAACTTAATGATCTCCTGCAGAATGCGCCTAGGCTCAATGAAGGGATGGTAGATTCTTGTTCTTGGCTAGCTCATCCGTCTGAAGGGTTCATTGTGGCATCAACTTGGAAGTGGATGGAAGCAAGTCAAGGGGTAGATTTTACAGTCACTAGGTGTATTTGGAACAATTTAGCCCCTCCCAAAGTTCAATTCTTGAGTTGGCTAGTGTGGAGAGGTAGGATTAAATGCTCTGAATTTTTGCAAAGAATTGGAGTGTTGAGTCCAAATGTCTCTGCTCTCTGTGTGTTCTGCAGATCTGAGTTGGAGTCTGTAAATCATGTTTTTCTTCACTGTCCTTTCATTTGGAAATTGTGGGCCAATTTAGTGAACTGGTGGAATTACAAATGGGTTATTCCTGGAATAGTGGAGGGATTACTTCTATCGTCATCAGGTATAAAAATGAAGAAGAAGATGCAAGCAGTTTTGCAAACACTACCGCTAGAAATTATGTGGTCAGTGTGGAAAAGCAGAAATGATTGTTTATTTAATAAGGTACAACCCGATTGGAATGCTTTGGAAGACCTGATAAAGGCTAGAGTTGCTTTGTGGGTTTCCTCATCTTTGAAGGGATTTAATTATTCGGTGCAAGATGTTATATATAACCTGAATCAAGTTTGTCTCTGTGTGTAGTTAATTGCTGACTTGCTGAAGCTCTGCAGTTTGATTCTGGTTTTGTTGCTGAAATGATGAACTGCACAAGTTGTTATGGGTCTTACAATTCTATTGCTGGTCTGAGCTAGTCTGTGCTGTCTTGTGCTGGTCTGTTCTGAGCCCTGGTCTACTATGTTCTGTGCTGCTTCTGATCTCTGGGCTGGATGGTGTTGATGTTCTGAATTTTATCTCGAGCTGGAATTGGAAGGGTTCAGTTGGTAGGCAGAATTCAGCTGTTTTGTTATGAATTCAGTTGGGCTGGATTGAGTTGATTTTTTGAATTCTGTTTTGAGCTGGAATTGGAAGGGTTCAGTTGGCAGATAGAGGAGTTTGATTCAGAAATAATTGAGTAAATTGATTCAACTGGTGGATGAAGGAGATGGGGGATGTGTTGTGTTTTCAAGTCTGATTTCTGCTGTTCTGCTATGTTTGTGGATGGTTTTTGCTGCTTTGTATCATTGGTGTATGCTGTTTTGTTACTAGGATTTTGTGCCTGGGTATGCTGGTGGTAATCTTGTTCTGTTGATTTTCTGCTGTGTTTTTCCCCTTCCTTCTTCTCTTGTTCTCTTTTTGTTGGTTCCTCACCAACTGGCGCTTGGAGCTTCGTTTTAGCTCCAAGCTCCTCTTTATTGATGTACTTTACCATACCTTATATGATTTCATTAATAAAGATTTTATTTGCTGATTAAAAAAAATCTGGAAATTAAGACTTATACACCCATATTTTTCTCGATATGTGATTGTGTGGTGAAAATTCAATTTATGTAGTATGAGGTTCTTATGTAGAATAAATCTAAGTTATAATATGATAATTCTAAATAATTTATGAATAGTTAAAGTTGAGATACCACATATCATAAATACAAGGTAAAATAACTGAATATCTAAAACCAACTGATTTCAGCAAAAAACAACTGAAATCACATATTAAAAAGGTTAGCACAATATTCCAACATGATCTGAATATCTATTAATCACAAAGCAAGCATAACACTTCACACTTCAATGAAAATTAGTCTCTAATCAATTTATTATTATTATTATTATTATTATTATTATTATTATTATTATTATTATTATTATTTAATTTTAAAGTTCTATGAATCTTATGTCACCTCTTCACATGGATAGCTCTTTCGAGTCTGACTCTCTATATTCTTCCTCTACGAAGCTCGACTTACCATATTTCCAATAACCTCTTACCTTTTTAATTTTTTGCCAAGAGCCTGAAAGCCATGTTTCGACATGTGTTGCTTCTCCTCTCAACTCTTCCTCCTCCCAATTGTTGTCGGGAGGTGTAACTAAACTTTCCTCATATATAATTGCATCCAAATACTTACATTTGTTTGAAATTCTAACTTTTCTTTGAGAGTTGTCAATAGGATTGTAAGTTCGTATATGATCCATGGCAACTTTCATTAGAACTTCACCATTCTTTGCATAACACAATGGCACTAGCTCATTATAAAGATTTAAACTAGGAAGATTTGATAAGATGAACATAGTAATCCAAAATTCTTGCTTACCATATTCCTTCATTGTCAATACCTCAACAATACCCACATGATAGCTTCGATGCTCATCACAGCAACAAACCATACAAAGGCATCCTTCCAAAACTCCCAAACCAAATAGAATATCTCCTCCATTCTTAGGTTGTGGCATTGGTAACTTCTTGAATTTGTTCATTCGCAAATTGAAGTAAACGATTTCATGGGCTGCGAGGAAGTGATCCAAACTTTTCTTAGAGGCAAACCAACATAGATTTTCATTCAGCACGGGCGCTTAATTCACACTAGAAAAACGGTATAGGAAGTGAACTTCAGTCCAAGTTTTGCTTCGGAAATTACCAACCACAGCAAATTCACCACCATAACTAGGAGTCTGATGAGAAAGGGCCATTACAGCCTTGTAGTCATTACTTAAGGAATCAAAGCAAAGCCCAGAAGCAATATGGTAGCCATCATCATGCAAGTTCTCGTATCCCAGGACTTTCTTCGAACACCTGGTGAGCGGATTCCATAAGAACAAATCATCGTGAATCAGAATAAGCAACAACCCATTACACGAACCAGAGATTTCAACATCACCATGAGATGGGTTTTTTTGGTTTGGTTTAGGAACGCTTTTCACGCAGCAATCTTCATCGATGGAGTAAAGAGAAGAAAACATTGCACAAACGAAAACCTTGTGTTTTGGAACAACGCTTTTCACAAAACCTGATTGAATCAAAGAACGCCATTGCTTGGAAACGAGATTGAATTGGAGGAGTGATTTGAGGGGTAATCTTGAGAGTATTTCGATAAGGATTTCTTCAGGAAGGTTTAGTAGATTGAGTTCTGATGTTGCTTTGATTTGGGTTTTTTCATTCTCTCTTGTTCTTCTTCTTCTTCCTCCTCGCCGCTTTCTCTTCCTTAAAATTGTTCGGAGAGCTAGGGTTTGCATTGTTCCCTCCTTCAAATCTGAAGAATGCGCACATACTAGGGTTAGCTATATATATTTTTGGGAAATTATAAATACGTGCCTGAGGTTTGTTTATAATATGAATTGTCCCTGTAGTTTGGAAAATTACAAATATCTCCCTGTCAGAATTTTTTATTTAACAAATTTAATTGACAAAGTGAAATTTCTAACTGTTCACTTATATAATAATAAAATTACCTGAATTATTAATTAAAATAAAAATTTAACATTATTAAAAACAGCTAATTAACTTGATGATTTATTAATAAAAAGATTTTGTATAATTCATTTGTTTCAAGTACTTCAGTTTAAATATTGATTTGTTTTTAAAATTTATTTTTAATTTTGAAACAAATAAAATTTTTATAAAAATCAATTTTCATACAAATTTTATTTTCATTTTTTCAACTAATTAAACACATTCAGTAAATTTTATAAATATTCATAATCAAAATCTTAAATATTTTATGTATTTTTTTTCAAAGTACCATGAAACTGTATTTTTCCCAAATTAAAAAAAAAAAAAAAAAAAAAAAGAAGAAGAAGAAGAAGAAGAAGATAAAAAGCAAAAGGAAAAAAAATAAATTAATACTATTTTAGAGCTGTTCTTTTAATATTCTAAAACATTTTTCATTTTTTTGTTGGTGGGGTTAGCTATATATCTATACTGCCATATAAGTGGTGCTATACACATGATTGAATAATGATTGATAAATTTATTTTTTAATTACTTTTTTTTTGTTTTTTTGTTTTTTTTAAGCTATCTCTTTTTTTTTAAAAAAAAAATTAATCTTTAGTATTTTTCAAAATTATGACATAATTTTTTATTTTTCCAATTTGTTGAATATATATAAAAAGTAAAAAACGAAAAATCAAATAAAAAAATTTGAAAATTTTGAAAATATGACAAAAAAAATTTGTTATTTTTTTTTTGCTTGTCTTTTTTGAAATTTTTAAAAACTTTTTAAAAATTTCAAATTATGTATGCTTAAAGTTTCACTTCAACTATCCTTTTTAAATTAGATGCAGCTAAGAAATGGTTAAATTTTTTGTTTCGAAATTTTATCTATAGTTTTTTATTTTTTTAAGTTAGATATGGTTAGATGTATTTTATGTCACATTTATATTTTAATTTAAAGAATTGTTTTATTAACATTATAAAGTAAATATGTTCAAATTTTAGACTAAAATAATAATTGGAATTACTTTTGATTACAATTACATTTTGACTTTTTCAAAATGCTTTTTAAATTTCAAGTTAGGTATGGATATGGCTACAACCTTTTTTTTTTGTTTTTTACTTTCTATACAAAAAGAATTAAATTTTGAAATTATAGAAATATAATATAGATATAAATAGTATTGATAATATATGTCATAAATAGTTCATAAATTAAAAACAATTCCATATTAATCAAGGAATCAATTAAAACTTTAAAATAAACAACCAATAGTAATTTGCCATGTGTATTTATATAATTTTTTTTAAAAAAATTAAAATTTTATAAAAATAGATTTTGAACTTTAGAAATCAAAAGCCTAACAATATTTTGCTTATATAATAGTGTGAATATATATATATATATAAACAATATTTTACTTATATAATAGTGTAGATATAAATATAGATAGGTAATAGATAGATTAAAATTAGTTATAACTATATCTCTATGTATATTTTAGAATGTCTAAGCTTAAATCCAACTACAAAGCTTCATCAAGCATTAGAGACATAAGAGCAGGTGGGACATTTCCACGCCCTGCCATGCGAGTTAGACCATGAGCAATTTTATTGATTCGGATTAAAAGGACATGATTTTGAATAACTATATTTAATATTATAATTTTTTTTTTTTAACTTTCTATATAAAAATATTCAAAATTTTAAATTACATATGATTTTTATTTTTAAAAACAAATAAACTCACAGTAAAAAGAGGTGGTACATATATTAAAAACAAGCATTACCTTGAACAATTTTAAAAAATAGATTAAAAATAATTTTTTTTATAGTGTTGTAATTATATAAGTAACTTCTTTAAGATAGGCAAAGAAAAAC